CTCCGAAACATGGCAGTAACACCCTGACCTCGACCGTCAGTTAGGGATGTTTGGGTTACTTCCCGGCGCCCAGCAGCATGTTTCTGCGGAGCCTCGGGAAGCCCTGAAATGGATCTTGCGGGACGTAGACACGAGACCACCCAGTCGCTGACGGGGGCCTACTCGGACGCCCCCCGGCAGCCTTTTGGAATCATTGTGGGAGTCTCTGGGGCCTCTGAGGGCCTACCTTGGGATTCCTGCTGGGCCTTTTTTGGCCCGTCTGGGGGCCCTTTTCGGCTGGCCCGGGCCCCTCTTGGCCCGTCATGGGGGGCCGAGGCCGTTTGGGGGCCCTCTTTGGGCCCTCTCCGACCATGTGGGGTTCCTACGCTGGGGACTCTCTTGGGCCGTCTTGGGGCTCTCTCTCGCTGCTCGAAGCTCTCTTCAAACCATATATCGGCCCAGACGACGTCGGGGGCTGGCGTCGGGGGCCCCAATATAGGCCCCCGACATCGGCCCCCGACATCGTCTGGGGCCGATGTCGGGGGCCTTTCGGGGCCGTCGCGGCCGCTGCTGGGGCCGAACAGCGAATGTTCCGAAAATAAATTCACGTTTAGATTAGGGGGGCCCTCTAGGCGACCTCTTGGACCGTCTTCAGGGCCTTCGCGGCCGTCTAGGAGCAGTCTTGGGCGGTCTTGGAGAGCTCGCAGGCCGTCGCGGGGCCATCGCAGCGCGCTCTTCGGCCGCCGCTCATCCACCTGACAGGCGCCTGCCCCGCCGACGCCAGGCCGCGGGCGACAGCCCGCTGCGCCCAGGCCTGCGTCTGCTGGGCGGCGACGTCGAGGCCCTCAAGATCAGAGCCCAACCGGGTCGGCAGACGCAGCAGCGCGCGCCGCTCATCTACGAGCTCTGGCGAAGCCTTGCGACCGAAGATCATATCGCGCGGCCGGTCCAATCCCTCATCCAGCATCCTATCGGCGGTCTCGAGCGCGGCGGCCTGCTGCGCCTCGCCTCTGCCACGACGCCGGAGAGCAAGCAACTTCGCGACCAGAGTGTCGAGCGCGCGCCGCCGCGCAGCAGCCGGGGCGCGCGCGCGGGCCCGACCGGGCGAGGGCTCGAGGCGCGCCCGTCTCAGCCACGGCACCTCCGCCCGCCTTGGACAGCGGGAACTGGTGGAATCATCGGCGCGCTCGACCCGCGGCGTCGTCTCCTCCGCCGCGCTGACCCAGGCGGCGTAGAGCTGCGCGATCGACCTGAGGCCGCCCCACATCGGCACTGGCCAGGCTTCGCGCGCGCGCCAGCTGCCTGGCCCCATTCGGCGGGGCCGGCGAAGAAGGGCGCGCCCTCTGTCGGCGCAGCCGGCGGCGAGGAGGCCGGGCCCTCCGCCAGATCGTGGAAGGCCCCCCGCAGCCGAGGGCCCAGGCCATCGCGGCGACGGGCTTGCTGCTCGGCGAGCCCGCGGCGCGAGAGCGCCTGCTGCCCCCCTGCGGCCGGCGCCCAGGGCGCGGCAGGGCAGGCGTCGTCTGCGGGGCAGCAAATACCTGATGCCGCCGCGCCCCATGCCCGCTGGCCACCCCCAGTTCAAGGGCCGCGCGCGTCTTCCAAGGAACTATGCCCTGGGCGCGCACGGCGACGCACTCCTCGAACTCCCCGTTGACAATCGCGCAATCAGCGAGCGGCGACCCCGCAGCCGCCGCGCAAGCAACCTCAACCTCAGGAACCTTGAGCACGCCATCTAAGACCTGGAGCATCGTCGACTCGCCCAAGACGGACGGCCCAACATTCCAGTCGCCAACAATGATCCGAGGGCCTGGCCTGGCCAGCGCGAAACGACGCAGGGATCGCAGCCCGGCCGCGCCAGCGCCGACCAGCTTGCCCCCAGGGAACTCATGCGCGGCGATGACCGCCAAGTTCCCACGCTGAAGATAAAGCGCGGCGGGACAAGAGCCCGCGCATCTGGGAGGTGGCACGGCGCGCCCCCAGGGGCACGCCGACGGGGCCAGGCGCGAAAATCGCCCGCCTCCGCGGGGTCCCGAAGCCGACCTCACCGAGCGAATAGATGGCGTGATCACCGCCCTCGAACCATCTTTCTTCACATCAGGCCGAACCGAAAGGGCCGCAGGGGCCTCGGCGCGCATCTCCACATATCACACAGCGCCACGCTGCATCCCGTGACTGCGCGAGAAAACCAAAGCCTTGGGCCCCCGCTCTGTCATACTTCCGCAAGAGATCGTGGACTGCGAACGCCCGGCGGGCCCCCTTCGGCCCCCGCGCCGACGGCGGGTCCGATGCGCCGACGGCCCGTCGAGCAGGGCGGCCCACGGGCGGCGCCTCGCCAGCAGGCCGCGGCGCCTGAACCTCTCCAGCGCAGCTGGCCACAGCGGCAGCAGCACCGCCGCCCGCGGCCGAATCGGTCGGCTCGGCGACGCTCTCGGCGCCCGCAGCAGCCAACCCGCCAGCGCGGAGGTCGCCTAAGTGCCTGTCGACGTCGTCGAAAAGGCCGCGGCCGCTAGGTCGCACTCGCCCAGGCCGATCCGCAGAGCGGGCTGGCCGGAGCCCTCGAGCACGCGGGCCAGGCGCTGCGACGTCGAGGGGCTGAGCCCCGCCGCGCCCAGCCCCGGCGTGGACCCAGCCCCGCGCGAAGCGCCGCAGCCCGGAACACGCGCGGCATAGGCTTAACGGGCGAAGAACGGTATAAAATAAACTTTTTCGGCGTCGGGGGCGCCTGCCCCTGGGCGGCTGGAAACTCTATGCCCCCACGGCGGCGCCGTAGGGGCATGGACTTTCCAGCCGCCCAGGGACAGGCGCCCCCGACAGCGAAAAACGTTAATAATATACCGTTCTTCGCTCGCTGATAGGCAGCAGGGCCATCGCGGCCACCGTCGCGCCTGCGCTCGTCCGCGGGCGAGGCGACGCGCTCGCCGGGAAGGCGGGCATCGGTCAACTGTGCGTCCGCGGCCCAAGCCCCCTGCATCCGACGGCGGGCCCCGCCGCTGGCGCGCGCCGCCATCGGGGTGCACGCGCTGTCGCGTAGCCGTTCAGCCTGGGCAGCTGGGCCATCGCAGCCGCGCGAATGCACGCGCCCGTCGGCAGGCTGAGCGACGCGCTCGTCGGGAAGGAAGGCAATGACCACCCGCGCGACCGCGGCTGCCAGCATCCGACGGCGGGCCCTGCCGTTCGCCCTCGCCGCCATTCCTTCAGAAGGTCCAGCGTCTGGGGCGCGAAAGCGTAGAAGAGACTGCGGTCGCCGAGCTCCTTGCAGAGACTGACTGCCTTCAGCCTCCAATCTCTCGCGATCTCCATGGCCTCGGTGGGCCATGCGATGATCCATGATTCATATACCACATGGTGATGAGTAGTCTCGCATGGGCGACGCATCGCCAGCCGCGCCTGAGCCCATCGAGCCGTTGGGCCCTCGAGCGGCTGGGCCGCGCCCACGGAGCGGTTGCCCGTTGACGCAGGCGCCCCCCAGCAGGGGCCTCCTCGAACCCCGAAGCCGGTTCCACTCGGCGCTGACGCTCGCTGCGCAGCCGCTCCCGCATCTCCTTGGCCTCAGCCCTGAGCTGACGCGGCGCCGAGGCCGAGCCGCCGTAGAGCTCCTTGACACTGTCCCTGACCCCCGCGGCGAAACGAGACTGGGGCTGATCGAGCGCCTCGCGCTGCGTAGCTTCGACATCGAGGCCGCCGAAGTCGAACGCGGGTCCAGGGTCGAAAAGGACATCGCCCTCGCCCTCCAGCAGCGTCGTTAGGTTGAACGCCTGCGCCGCAGGTTGCCGTGAACGTCCGCGCTCCGTCTGCAGGACCGCCGGAACCTCCTCTGCAGCCTGCTGCGACTGTGCAAGCTCGCGAGCCGCCTCCTCTGCCCTCAGCCGCTGTCTCCCGCTCCAGGTACCAAGCATAGGCCTCGAGTTCGCTCCCGGCTGCCTTGTCCAAGGCCGTCTTGGACCGCTTCTCCGCAACCACCTTGCGCTGATGCTACTGGCTGGCATGTGGCGCCTTCGGGGCCACTGGAGCAGCAAAAAGTTGTTTGACGTCATCGATGGCCGACTCGCCGATGTGCGGCGCAGCCTCGTTCGTGGAGGACCATTAGAAGTTCCTGCGGCGCCGGTGACACCAGCCGCCTCGCTGGCGCCCCACGCCTTGCGCCGACGACGCGAACGGGGCCAGCTCCCCCACTCTTACCAGCCGTCGTTCGCCTCCGCCGCCACCGCGCGCTAGATATACGAAGCTCAGGCCCCCTCGGCCTCGCATTTCTTGACCCATGGTGGGATCTCCAGCGGCTAGTCGCAGTGGAAGCAGAGCGCCCCTTTCCATTCCCACTTGTAGGAGCAGCTGCCACAGCGAACATACCCCAGTGGTTGTGGAACCATCGGCAGGCGAGAGGACTCCAGACTTTGCCGCAAACAGTGCGCAACTCGATGGGGGCAAACGTGAATCCCGTCTACGAGTGTAAAGACTGAAACGCTGGCGAGGACTAGCGGTATCAATTTCCTTCGCAGGGAAACTCAAAACCTTGAGCCAAAATGGCTTGAGCCAAAATTGCTACGGAGGAGGAGGAGGAAGAGGAGGAGGAGGAGGAGGGGAGAGGAGTAGGAAGGACGGTGCGGCGGCACCACCAAGCAGCCCCCGAAAAAGGGAAAGATGGGACACAGGAGGGGGGGACCAGCTCGGGGGGAACACCATCGACCTGGAAACAGCGATGCGTCGCCGATGGATCGTCGACGGGCCCCCGACAACGGGTCCGAACGCTCCTGGGCGGGGCGGGCTGCCGGGCCCCCATCGACAATCCACGGGGGGGGTTCATCCCGAGTCGTTTTCCGACGGCCCTGGGGCCCGGCGAGGGCCCCCAGGGGCCGATTTGCCGATTTTGCCGACGACGCCGAGAGTCCTCCGTGCCAATGTGCTTCCATACGTTGGAGGTCCGGGTGCGCCTCTCCTCTCCTCGCGGGGGGTCGACGCATCCCCCCCGGAGCCACTCGCCCCCCAGCGCTGCCCCCGAGACAGGCGGACGGGGGCGGGGGCGCCCTGGCTTTGTCCCAGCCCGTGAGAGCCGATGGGCTGCAGGAGAGCCAGCGCTCCTCTGCGGGGCGCCCCCCCGGCGGGGGAGGGGGGCATCCCCCCCCCCTCCTCGATCCTCGATCTTCGCTCACCCCCCCCTCCCAGACATGATCGCGTCCTGAAGCACATAAGAAAAACCGAAGGTTTTTGGCCGTGTTCGGCCTCAGGAGGCCCGCGACGGGCTCCGAAAATGGCTCGGGCTGAACAGAATTACTCCTCCGACGGTGGGACCCCACATGCGAATCCTCTTCAATGATTTGGAAGTACCTCTCATTGTCCTCCTCGTGATAGTGGAGGCCCTCTCCCTGGTCTCCCCAATCGTAGGCCTTCCTCCCACCCCTGCTCGGCCTCAACCTCCTCTTCCTCATTCCCATTCCCCTTCCTGCTCATACTCTCAACCCCCATTCCACCTCCTCCGTTGTTTCTCCTTGTTCATAAACTCTCCCTGTCGCACGGCGAGGCCACTCGGAAGGGCAAGCCAGGCCGGGCGTTCGCCTTCCTATCTATGATCCTGAAACTGATCAGTTGCAACAGCTTCACGGATGGAGGGCGGGTCGCGTTGGAAATGTGGTGCTCGCCCTAGCGCCGCGCACATGCTTTCTAAAAACTCGCAAAGTCTGCCCAGATTGAGGACATGTGGTTTTCAAAATGCGGCTCTCGCCCCAGCGCCGCGCACATCTGCTTCAAAACATTGCAAAAGATTCACCGATGGAAGGCGGGCCGTTTTCAAAAAGTGGTGTTCGCCTTAGCGCTGCGTGCACTCGTCATACAAATTTGCGAAACATCACGAAGGGAAACGGTTCCTTTTTCAACATGTGGATCTCGCCTTAGTTAGCGCCGCGCATACTCGCCAGAACAACTTGCAAGAGTGTCAAGGGTTCTCATGGCTAACGTTCCAGAAATGGCGTTTGGGCACGATGTCAGACTGTCAGGGCGCAACCGTGACCTTGATTCATGGTGTTGAAATCCCAAAAACGGTGTTCTGCACGGTTCAGGACTGTCAACACGTAACGATCACGGCGATTCGTAGCGATGAAATCCTGGGAGCGGTGTTCTGGCGCAGTTGCGGGTTTTCAAGCGGTTGCCTTCCAACGGGACACTTTCCTCAAAGACGATGAATCCGTAGAGGGGCCTACGAAGAGGAAGCTTGAAGGCAGGCTTATTGCAATATCGTTGATGCGTCTTGGGATTGCAGTGGTCCTCCTACTCCTCCTGCTCCCCCTTCTCCTCTTCCTCCTCCTCTTCCTCCTCCTCCTCCTGCTCCTCCTTCTCCTCTTCCTCCTCCTCCTCCCCTTCCTCCTCCTCTTCCAACTCTTCCGCCTCCTCCTCCTCCTTCCCCTCCTCCTCCTCCTCCTCCTCCTCATCCACCTCCTCCTCCTCCTCCTCATCATCATCATCATCATCATCATCAGCAGCATCAGCATCAGCATCATCATCATCATCATCATCATCATCATCATCATCATCATCAGCATCATCATCATCATCATCAGCATCATCATCATCATCATCATCATCATCATCAGCATCATCATCATCATCATCATCATCACCATCATCATCATCATCATCATCATCATTATAATATTATTATTATTGTTCTTATTATTCTTCTTCTTCATCATCATCATCATCATCATCACCATCATCATCCGTTTCGTCATCCTCTTCATCATCATACTCATCCTCGTCATCTTCCTCTAGCTACTATTATCCGTAATATTCCGAAGAGTATTACAAGTATTGCGAATATTAATGCTACTCGTAGTACTACGTGTAGTACTGGTAGTATGAGTATCCGTATGAGTGTTATTAGTACTTGTATTAGTTTGAATGTTAGCACTCGTACTTTTATGAGTGTTAGTAGTAGTAGTAGTAGTAGTAGTAGTAGTAGTAGTAGTAGCAGTAGCAGTAGCAGTAGCAGTAGCAGTAGTAGTAGTAGTAGTAGTAGTAGCAGTAGTAGTAGTAGTAGTAGTAGTAGTAGTAGTAGTAGTAGTAGTAGTAGTAGTAGTAGTAGTAGTAGTAGTAGTAGTACTAGTACTAGTAGTAGTAGTAGTAGTAGTAGTAGTAGTAGTAGTAGAAGAAATAAGTTCGCCGGCCCAACGGGCCAGAGGCGTGTTAAGATCTCAACAATACTTCTAACTCGCGCGCGCGGGGTGGCCCCTAGGGGGCCCCGGGCGAAAAGTACCCCGGCAAAGTCCCGGGACACTCCCGGCAAACTCAGGTCAGAGATGGTGTTCCTCCTGGGTGCGGCCTTCCACGCTCCCCGGAGCGCTCCAAGAGGGCCCCAACAAGAATCCAAGACGGTCCAAGAGGGTTCCGAATCACCGAACGATCGGCCCAAGACGCCCAACACGGCCTCAAGACGGCCCAAGAAGCTTCCAAGACGTCCCAAGAGAGCCCCGACCCTTCCCAAGAGAGCCCCAAGACGCCGAAATCATTGATTTCCATTGGGTTTTTCAAGGTTTTTGGCTTCCTCGCCTTTTCGCGTTTCCTACGCTCCAAGACGCCCGAAAAGCCTCCAAGACCACCCCAAGACGGCCCAAGAGGCCTCCAAGAGAGCCCCAAGACCGCCCAAGAGGGCCCCACGACAGCCCAAGAGGCGCCCAAGACGGTCCAAGAGGGCCCCAAGAGGGGCCCAACATGGAGACCACGAACCGAGAATCCGAACCTTCCGCTCAAAGAGGCCTCCTGGACGCCCCAAGAGGCCCCTAAGAGGCCCCAAAAGGCGACAAGGGGCCCGAAAGAGACCCCAAAAGGCTCGACAACGACTCCCGAGAGTCTCCAAAAAGCCCTCGAGAGGCATCCAACGAGATCCCAATAAACGTCCACGAAGCCTCAGAGACCGAAAACCATTGATTTCCATTCGGTTGTTCAGGGTTTTTGGCTTCCTCGCCTTTTCGCCTTTCCAACGCTCCAAGACGGCCCAAGAAGATTCCAATACCACCCCGAGACGGCCCAACAGGCCTCCAAGAGAGGCCCACGACCGTCCAATAGAGCCCCACGACAGCCCAAGAGGCGCCCAAGACGGTGCAAAAGGACCCCAAGAGGGCCCCAAGAGAGGCACAAGATGGAGACCACGAGCCGAAAATCCGAGTTTTCCACTCCAAGAGGCCTCGTGGACGCCCCAAGAGGCTCCCAAGAGGCCCCAACAAGCGACAAGGGGCCCGAAAGAGACCCCAAGAGGCTCGACAACGACTCCCGAGAGTCTCCAAGAACACCCTCGAAAAGGCATCCCACGAGATCCCAATGAACGTCCACGAAGCCTCAAGCGCCCAAACCATTGATTTCTTTTGGGTGTTGCAAGGTCGTTTGCATCCTCGCCTTTTCGCCTTTCCGACGCTCCAAGACGGCCCAAAAAACCTCCAAGACCACCCCAAGACGGCCCAAGAGGCCTCCAAGACAGCCCCAAGACCGCCCAAGAGGGCCCCACGACAGCCCAAGAGGCGCCCAAGACGGTCCAAGAGGACCCCAAGAGGGCCCCCAAAGTGGCCCAAGATGGAAACCACGGACCGAGAATCCGAGCCTTCCGCTCCGAGAGGCCTCCTGGAGGCTCCAAGACGCCCCCAAGAGGCCTCAAAAGGCGACAAGGGGCCCGAAAGAGACCCCAAGAGGCTCGACAACGACTCTCGAGAGTCTCCAAGAAGCCCTCGAAAAAAAGGCACCCAACGAGATTCCAACGAACGTCCACGAAGCCCCGAAGCCACCACCCAAGCACGGTGGCGAATGTGCCGAATGTAATTGGATAAACACAGCCGCCGACCCTGCGGCTCCGCACCGCCAGGCCTCCCAAGAGGCCTCCCAAGAGACCCCAGGAAACCTCCCAAAGAGGCGTCCTCTTCACGACCACGCTCAGTCTGAAATGACTATGGTAAGTCAAACAGCATCAGATCCCATGGGAAACGGATGGCATATCGCGTCCAATGCCATGCTGTGTAGGTTCAGTATGGGGAGCGGACGCATAAAATAATATAAGATCGATGTAGTGGTTTTTCCAGCACATAGCGAGCACACGCAGTGTCCTGGCAAATAGGGCGCGCGCGCCGCGAGCCAAAGGCAACGACGCGCGGGCTATACTCCCGATCCTCTATAACATCTCCCAAAGAGCTACCCTTAAAGTCGGGAGGGGAGGAGGCGGTGAGTATAGCCGCGCAGCCGTTCGGCTCTACAAAGGCCGCGCGCGCAACTGTTTGCAAGAAAAACAGTGCGTACAGTCTGGCCTAACACCAGACTGTAAGGCGAGTTTCCTCGCAAAGCATTTTCACGCATACGCAAGATAGCCCCTTGGACATCAAAGGGCTATCGGCCCGGCCAGAGGTGAGCCAAACAGGCTATACCTCTCCAAGCAAAAGGGTATTAAAGCAAAGAGCCTGAATCAATCTGAACAGGCTCGCTGCCAAGCGTGAAAAGTAAGGCTCGTTTCCGAGCAACTAGGAGGGCGCCTCCGCACTAGGCGCCTGTACTGGCAAACCGGGCCGCGGGGGCAACAAGGACAGACTAAAACTGATTTGACTTAGGCTTATTTCTGTCCTCAAGACCCCGAAAGGGAACAAACTGCTTCACGTCACACTTAAATGACTGAGTGTCTGACATCACTTCCATAAGCAGCTCCCGATCGATACTCCCCTTTGTATGCCCATCTGCGGTCGTGTCTCTAGTATCACACCACTGTGCGTCATGCGCTATGCCTATATCCACGAGCTCACGTATCCAGCTGATATGTCCCAGCAAAGTCCGCTCAGCCGGTATCTTAAGATCTTTGCTGGATAGCGATTTGTATACATACTCAGCGTCTATAGTAAGGGATAATTTAATAGCTAGGCCCCCAACTTCACGCATATCTCGTAGTTGTCGTGGAGTAAGTGCCCCTGCCTTGAGCTCGCGAAGAGCGATGAGCGTGGGGTAACATTCATCAAGATTGCGTGCAGCTGCAAGTGCCTCAGCGGCATAGCTGGACCTCACCTGCAGTAGGTGCGATTTGCATAGTCCGTCGCAAAGGTGAATGACGGATTTGCCTTGA